CCCCTAGAGACCCCTACAGTGAACCAACCTCTTTCTCCAAAGGCATCCACTTCCCCATAGCATTCTAACATTGAAATCCACAACCCCCACCTGTCTTTCCACTGCAGGCTCAGGTGTGATATTAACTTTGAGGATCACTCATCCTCCTGGACCAACATAACAGGTCTCTCCTCAGTTCTCTGGGAATACTACGTACAGTCCACCTTTCTAGTATTTTCTACATAGTCCTAAGTGTCTTGGTGTTATGATCTGAATATGAGGTGTCCCCTGAAAGCTCATCTCATTAGATTTTGAGAGCTGTAACTTAATCCAGTGGATTAATCCATCTGATGGATTAAAAAAAGTACTTCAGTACAGGGTGATAACACTAAGTGCCGCAGTCTGGCTGGGCAAAATAACCAGGGGGTGATAAGCAACTTGTGAAGATTGAAACAGCGGGAGCCGCTTTATTGCAGGACAGCAGAGGTATTTATACTTAACTAGTTACACACAGCTTAACTCAATTAACATAAACTAGATATTGCAGTCAACCAATAAGGAATCCTCATCATCTTAATGGCTCGCTGGCGTTGCTTCACAGACCACTCCTCCTGGCAAAGTGCCAGGCGCCATCTTGACTTGATTTCAGCCCTCAACAACTAAGCAGGTAGGGTATGGCTGGAGGAAGTAGGTCATCAGGGGTGAGCCTTTAGAATTTATATTTTGCCCTTGGCTCTCTCTCTTTTTCACTCTTTGTCTTTGCTTCTTGGCTGCCATGGACTGAGCAGCTCGATTCACCACATGCTTCCACCATGTTGTTCTGCCTCATCTCAATCCTAGAGTGATGACATGGTCCAACTATAGACTGAAGTGTTTCTTGTCTGGTATATTGTGTACAGTGATGAAAAGAATACTAACACACTTGGTTTTCCATCTTCCTAGTACCAAATGTCAGTGTGATACCAGAGTTGCTTTTTCCTTGTGTCAGCACCTAGATCCTGGCATGTGTTAGGTAGAAATTTATATGGACCATCGTATAATCATTGTTACTGAAATATTTGTTAAATTGATGGATGAATGACTGAATGAAGCCTAGAAGAACCTGCAAGTGCTGAGCCAATAAAATCTTGATTAACCCTGGGAAAAAAAAAAAAAGCTTGCTGTGATTTACTTAATTTTATGGTAGAATAAAAGTGAAATAAGGATTAAAGGATTATTTGGGGGAAGTTGTCAGGTGGCCTTTGACAGCTCTAGTCCCTTCAGTGCACCTTGGGCTGATGAAGTATAATTTCAAGGGGGTAATTTCTCAGATTCTTACCTATTTCTACCATCCTCTCTTATGCCAAGCTATTTCCTTCAGTCTCTAGATAAACAAAAGCTCCCTCTTTTGTAGGTCCAGTTAGATGATTCCTGAAGGCAGTGATTCTAGTTGAATTAAAGATGTTCATCTTTGTGCATATTTATTTTCATTTCTAGACTACTAGTCTGAGAAGACTGGCTCACCTCCTAGGCTAGGTTTTCAGGAAACAGGCTTGGACAGATTGGGAAGTATAAAATGTTTATTAGGGATAGGCATGTGTGAAAGGAGGAAGAGGAGGAGGGAATAGGATTGGGCAGGGGAGAGGTTGAAAGTGTTGCTATTCTATGAACCTTGGTCAACCCAGTGGAGTGCTCTGGAGAGGGTGGTGCTACCAGAGCCATTCAGCTTCTGCTTTACTGAGTCACCTCAGGCATGTGGCTACCCTGGAAAGGGCCTCACCTAAGCATAGCCAATCTCTGCAGCTAAATCAGGCCTGAAGAGTCTGGCAGGTGACCTTGGCTGGGCAGAAAATCTTTCCTTGAAGGGGCATTGAAGCTATGACATCATCCTTTCTTCCATACTCCCAATATGGAAACCACCACCATGACCTGATACTTCTTGCTTCATGAAATCTCTCATTTCTTCCTCTATTCCTCCATCCCAGGTATCCATATCTTAAGTCTCCTGTCTTTTCCGTCTTTGATGACCAAAATGGCTTCAGAGCTATTTCTGTAACTCCGGGCTTCCTTTCCTAAAACGTTGCCAGAAATTTTCTAAAATACGGTGTCATGGTTCTTCCCACAGTAATGCTCTTTCAGTAGACTCTGCTGGTCTTGGTGGTGAGATTCATAGTAGTAGGGTTGACAAAGCCTGCTCTCTGGCCAACCCTGTCCTCCCACCCTCATCTCTGACCCTTCTCTCCCAGCGTATGCACCAGTTCACCTGCCCCTTTTGACAGTTCCTGCACAGGTGCCTCCTCACTTCTTCCTTGGTCTTTGCTCCAGGTGGTTCCTTTGTTGAGACATCTACCTACAGCACATGACATCCTACAACACATGATTAGACCACAGACTTCCTGCCCGACTGCCCAGGACTGTGTGCCTTACTGTGGCCTGCAGCCTCCTTTTGTGAGCAGAGAGGATCCTCAATCAAATCCACCTCACACAAACTAAAAAATCTTCTAAATGACTCTAGATAAGAATGCCTCACCCTGCTAATCCTCATGTTGTCTGGAGCTTATTTAATGAAAATCACCCCTTTACTGTTTGTGGAGATTGGGGATAAAGGTGGAACACAAATTCCATTTGACCTTCCTGTGAAAATTAACCCTTTAACCAAAAAGAAAAAAATAAATGAATTTAGTGGACAAGATTTCCAAATGGTGCTATTTTTAAAATTTTTGTTCTAAAACTACTTCTCTGGATTCTTTCATTCTTTCAAAATACACTTGAGAACAATACCTGCTCCATGAGTGGTAAGATAGTGAATAGGAACATAGGTTTTTGTTTCCGTCAAAGGAGAATCCATGCCAGTCTCCAGCTCTTAAGCTGTGCCACTGTGGTGAATTTACTTTTCATCTTAAATTTCCATTTCCCCGTCCCTCTGAAATGGGGGATAGTACAGGTACTACTGTACCCCTCATGGAGGTGTGCTGTTAAAATTAGATGAGAAAATGACTATTATGTATTTAGAAGTGCTCGTTACTAGAATGATGTCTATTATGTATCACTCACCAGATGAAGTGACATAGTTAAGATGTTGTCCAAGACCAAAGTGTCCAGAGGCACAAGTCTCCTCTTACAGGCTTTTGCTACCCTCTGCATTCGATGCAGACTAGAGGTTTTCCTCCCTCCACCTCCTTACTCCAGCATCTTCACCTTGTCCTCTAGACCACCATCCAATAGACATTTCACATAATCTGCATATGTAACTAAATTTCCCAGCAGCCATGATAAAGTTTAAAAAAATTAAGTGAACCAGGCATGGTGGTGAACATCTATAATATCTGTGACTTGGCAGGCTGAAGCAGGATGATCACAAGTTCAAGGCACAGCCTCAGCAATTTAGCAAGGCCCTAAGCAACTTAGTGAGATCTTGTGTCAAAATAAAAAATAAAAAGGACTGAGGATGCAGCTAGTGGTAAAGCACCCCTGGGTTCAATCCCTAATACCAAAAACAAAAACAAACAAACAAACAAAGATTAGGTGAAATCAATAGTATTATATCTTATTTAACCTAATGTATCCAAAATATCATTTCAACATATAATTGATTAAAAAAAATCAATGCGTTATTTGACATTCATTTTTCTAGACTAAAATCTTTGGTATTTTGTATATATTTTCTACTTAGCATATCTCAGTTCATATACTGCATTTTTGTGGGAGATAACTTATTAGATAACTTAAGTTATTATTGAAAGAATAGATGTGTCTACCCAGGTTGTTTCAGACATAGAGTTTTTCAGTAATTGAATTCAATATCAGTTTTAAAAATTTAGATGAATATTAATTAAAATCAAACAAAATTGAAAACCTAGATCCTCAGTTATCCTAGCTACATTTTCAGGTGATCAATACACATGTGCCCAGTAGCAGCTATTTTGGACCAAGAAGCTCAGATGCCACTGAAGAAGATTCAGTCTTCTTGGCTACACTTTTTTCACATTCAGTTGTGCTAGAAGCTCTCTAGTTAAAATGGATAAACATAGTGCTGTGCAGGTGCTCTGTCTCCCTTCAGAAGAGAATGGTTAAGCCATTCACCTTCTGCCCTGCTCTTATCTTCACAATAACTTCTGTGTTCAGAAGTCCTGGGGTACCTTGGCACCCAAAAAATTCCTGACCACAATTTAGAATTCCAGAATCTTGGGTCTCAAAGGGGCTTTAACACATTTATGGGTCAATGCCTGTCTAATCCCTACAGTAGAGAAAACCTTATTATAGAATTTTTTAGAGGGTAGGAGTGGGCTCAGCCTCTCTTAAATACCTGGCAACAGATGGGTCATTTCATTCTCTTCTGGCTCACATGGTTCTCTGTGTCCTTATCTCATCTTCCTAACTAGGTTGGGAGCATGTACTGCCTTTTACAGCCCCACAATACTCACACAAAGGAAGACAATCAATAAATTATTAACTGAAGGCCTGGCTGACTATAAGAATTCAAGGTCACTTGAAATATCAGGGTCATTGCATTTCACAAGTCCAAAGAACATTAATAAAATTGTACTCTGTGGTTGTATAAGTAGCAGCCTTCTAAAGTTTACAAGTTTAGATTAGGCTCTCTTTTCAGCTTCGAAAAACTTTCAAGAAATTCTTCATTGGGGCAAAATACTTCCCTCCCTTATCCATTAGTAGAAAGAACTATACAAATAAGTGTTCTCAAATTGTTTAGGAATATATGTTCACCTAGTCTCTAAAAGGCCACTGTATTTTTATTTTTTTATATAATTTCCCATTCTTAGAATCTTTCTCTGGTATGAGTGACACCTTGGAGCTCCTAGTTTGCAAACCATCCCAAAGCATGACCCAAACATACCAAGGCCATTCACCTGGGTCACCAAACGAGCAAAGGGACTCTTCATGGCTGCATGATTTTTATCTTTGTGAAGCTGAGAAAATGCAGGGGAAGAAGGAAGGAACAAAGAAGTTCTCTTAAGAAAACCTCTGTTTGCCTTTATGTTTTCCAAACTAATGAGTGTTTGTTTTTTCTCATGTCTGCTCAGGAAACCAGGTGCTACCTCCCGGAACTTCTCTTGGAAGTGGGCTCACACCAGAGGCTGCAAAGGAGCTTGGCCTTCGCCCCGGGGTCCCAGTGGCAGCCTCGCTCATTGATGCCCATGCCGGAGGACTAGGTAATCTTTTATTCCATGCCACAAACAGCTGTGTTCAAGTGGAACATTCAGCAGAGCTAAGACACCCATTTTGTGTATTTAAAGCAAAGGTCAAGGACTAGTGAGTCAAGGTGTAATAATGAAAAGCCTTTTCACAGATAGGCATTTGGATAGAATTATAGACCTACCTTTTCATCCAATATAAAACCTATTTATATATTCTTAACTTTTCCAACATAGGAATATAAAAACTTGATCTGAATAAGTGTCTGGATGGCTCTTCAGTTTATTGGAAATTTGAAAAGCACATGTTCACTTTTGTCTAGTAGGTTTGATAACCATGCACTTACTGTACTCTGTTTTCTAATAGTATTGCAAAACCTTGTAAGTCTAACAGGTTTGTTCTTATAATATTTGGTTTTTATCATATATCCGTTTACTTGGTACTAGTCTTGATTTCATCTCATATATAACTCTAAAATCTGTGATTTGTGCATTCATTAATTCATTCTCAAATACACATTGAGCATTTCCCATGTCATGGCATGATGCTAGGAAACTGAATTTAAAATAAAACCAAACCAGGCTGTGAATGTAAGACCCCGCGTTTGATCCCCAACACCAAAATAAGTAAATAAAACAAACAAATGTCAAATTTTAGTGGAAAGTACACATGAAGTCAAAAAGATTTATTGAAAAAAGTGGTGACTTTGTTCTTATCCACATTCCTTGTACAATTTTCTTTTCTTTTTGGGTAATTTGACTCTCTCTCTCAGTGTCTCTCCCTTTACCCTTCCCTGTAGTTATTTCTATATTTCCTAGACTTTCATTCTAATAGCATCTTTTATGAACTGTGGTTCATAGTTCATGGCATGAGTTAAAGAGGACATGACTGTTGGAATTTCAGAATAGAATGGGATCTAATAGAATAGAACAGAGTAGAACACATAAGAGTACATCTCATATAGTAAGGATAAGCACTGTTTTGTGGACCTGTTTCCTGTGTGTGTGTGTGTGTGTGTGTGTGTGTGTGTGTGTGTGTATTCTAGGCAATGAAGGAAATGAATTTCTTATTATGAATCATGATCAAAAACCTGACCAGGTTTGGTGGCATACCAGTTACTTGAGAGGCTGAGGTAATAAGGGGATCACTTGAGCCCAGGAGATTAGAATTAGCCTGGGCAACATTGTCCCATTGGGGATGACTTTTAGGGAACACACACACCACAGTAGCTCTCTACTTTTCCAGGTAGATGACACCTCCCCCCACCTCAGTCTCTCTCTTTCTCCTTTTGGTGATCCTGGAGATCATGCATAGGTAAGCACTCTACCACTAAGCTATACTATTCTCACTCCTCTAATTTGAAATCCTTTCTCAGATGGTTTCTTCTCTGCATATCCTTCCATGGAGTAGTCAGATATATTAAGAAATTCTCCGGATTGTGCTTCTTTCATTACTTCTATTTATTTGAAGAAATGATCACCTTGTGTTTTAGTTTCTGATTTATCTGCTTATCTTTTCCACTAGACTGTGAATTCCTTGAGGACTCCTCAATGCTGAGCCTTATGTCTTGTTTTTAAAGGTGCTTGATAAGTTTACTAAATAAAGTCTCATTAAGGCAAGAATAAGGTAAAATGGCCTTAAACTTACAGTAAAGGCTGATATGTTTCCTTCTGTGACAGATTGTTCTTCTGCATGGTCCACAGACTTGCAGAAACAGTATGGCACTCATCAATCTATGAACGTGTCTGTCCTGTTCATCTTTCTGTCCTCAGGCTCTGGCACAGTGCCTAAGAAATAGTAAACAAGCAGAGTGTGTGTGACTGGTCGAGAGGTACATAATGGAGCCCTATTATAGGCAAGGGTGTTTGTCTCAAAGCACTTTGTAGTGTGAGCAGTGTGTGCTTTTGGTCAGAATGCATGATTTGGGTTTTTAAGCACAATCACAGAGAGAACTGAAGGTCCAGCTGGACATGGAGTGCTCCTATCCCTAGTAATCCTGATGTTCTACATCACAGAAGACTCCAGGGAAGCTTTCTTCATTGTGATTTTGCAATTGTCCCTGGGGCGACAGTCTCAACCATCCACCGGCATCCAGGTGACAAGCACTTGGCTGCTTATCCATGTGCTGAAAGAAATAAGGCTGCACTCAGGAGCAACAGGCACTGTCGTTTCCTTGTTGGCGTCCCAGACCTCTGTAAGGGACGTGCCAAACACACCTTCTCACTTCTCCTTAGGACTTTCTGTGCTCTTCAGTAGGACAGACTTCCAGGTGACCATGGCTTTGTCCTAACAGAGATGCTCAATGACAGAATTTTTACCTGTAGACACTTTGGCTTAGACCTTTTGTTCCCTTTAAAATACAAATGCTCTTGAGTCAGTGAGTTTCCTCTATGTTTTCCAAAAGTTAGTTTTTTAAGTGGAAAGATAGGATAAGACATTAGATTCTTTAAGGACTTGAGCTTTGTGCCAGCAATAGCTGGGAAGGGAGATCTTGGTCACACAGGATTGGAAATCCCTACTTAACAATTTTGAACAAGTTTGATCCTTCTTATACCACTTCTCTCCCCTTCACCTTATAGCCAGTTCAGGATCAGAATATCTGGGAAAGACAGGAGCCATAGAACAAATATTCCCTCTCATTTTCCACCTTGCCTCCACCCTCTCAAGATGTGAAGAATAAGAGAGGCCTAAACGTCCTAAAAAGATCATCCACTAGTCAAACCAAAGATTTACTAAAGATCAAGTGCATGCAACCCTATCAGCTATATTTTTGGAAACCAGAGATTATCATCATGAACAAACCATAGAACTCCTCCTATTCCTTTCAGAGAGAAAATTCTCTGGCTTGCTTAATAGTGTTCTCTTATGATAGTGAATCTTCTGAGACTTATTGTAACACTGTGATAAGGGCATTCCATACACAGTCTGAAGATCTGGATTAAATTCCTATTCTGCCTACACACAGTGTGCCTTTTAGCATATTCCTTTCTTCTTCTATATTAAGAGCTAGCAATCTTTTCATAGGATTGGTATAAGAAATGGTAATGTAAATAGTTAAAGCAATTGGCCTACTAACTGGCACATAGTAAGCATGCAATAATGAGGTTTGATTTCCTCACTCCAGAACCACAATGCCTGACACAAAGTAGAAGCTTCATAAACAATGTTGCCTGTTAGGAAGTTGTTTCCTGTTAGGAAGTGTCTTACCAGAACTGGATTCTTAAGACAAGACATGTGGAGAAGGACCAGAGGTGCTGGACTCCCTCTGCCTTCTCTGAATTTGCCCTCAGTTTCTTCCTCTACCCATCTATCACAGAAAGCAGGATTCACTGCTTTAAGATTCTGTCTTGGTCAAGATCAGAAACAGCCCCAGGAACTGCTTGGATGCACTCTGTGTCAAGAGATCCCCAGTCAGGAACGAACCCAGCTTTGAAGTAGGAATTGGAGGCCAGCCATGCCTGTCGCAAACAAGCTCTGACAACCGTGGTCACTTCCAGTGCTAGCCTAGTATGACCTACCTTGGACTCTATGCCCAAAGAGAACCTGGGATGGGAGGATACAGATCATAGGAGCAAGCACAACTTCACTCATGCTTTTTCCAGCTCTGAAAACAAGGAGGAAGGACTTTGCCGGAATAGAAATCAAAGATAGAAGAACATTTTGTTCTTAAGGTGCTGGTTAGCAAGTTCTTCAGCAGACAGCCAGAAGATAGGAGTAGCTTTGTTTGCACTTTGTGGGGGTGGTTCTGGCCAGGGCTCCTGCTGGTGGTATTTTTCTAGCTTATAAAAATAGCATTAACTTTGTTCCAGGTCTTTTCTTGGTTTTAGCACCCCACCTATCCTGAGAGGCAATAACAACCTGTTTTCTCTCTTAAGCCCCTCTCTTAGTTGTTATTCTTTATTGACCAAACTCCTGATTATCCATCAGATCTTGAAGATGCTACCTGTTTCTCTGGGAAGTCTTTCTTGACTCTCGAAGCTGGCTGAAGCACACTTTCTTCTTTGTTCTTACTTTGTCTTGTGTTTGCATGTTTATGTGCAACGTTGTTTCATCTAATTCCTAACCCCTTTAACACATGACCATTTTATCCTCATAAACCACAACTGTGCAGTGGTTTGCACATAGAGGGTCCTAAATACCTGCATATTTAGTAAATGAATGAATGGCATTTCCTCCATAGGGGGTGGATATTTCAGCTGAGAGATATAGTAACCTCTCCTTATAGAGGCAACTGTCCTTATATAGAAGTTACATCTGGCTCTGTTCTCCAGGAGCAAGAGAGTCTGGTTTGTACACTCCCTAAGCAACTCCTAGGTGCCTGGAAATCTCCATCCTTTGTGTTCCCACCACATTAGCAGGTTTTGGCCAAGAGCAAACTTTGTGGCTAGGTTTAGCACTACTCTTTGATGAACAATACAGGATTCTTTGCCAGATGTTGGATTGGCTTAAATTGCTCATCTGGACCAGATGTTGTATTGGCTTAAAAACTGCTCATCTGAGTTGCAGAGTCGAACCAAAATAAGGATTTTGAATTTCTTTTCTTCTTTTTTTTCTTTAATGACAGACGAATTTATTCAACTAGTCTTGGAAAAGAGTTTCTGATCAGTGCTTCCCAGAGCAAAGCATAGTGTGTTCAAATAAGCAATAAAATACACCAATTTCTTATCTTACCATTACTAGTGTTCTAGAAGAATGGGTAGACAGACAGCAAATTTACTTAGCTTGATTATTTGGGGGAGTATTTATAAGATATATACATATGTGTATATATATATATATATATATATATATATATGTGTGTGTGTGTGTGTGTGAATATATATAAATTACATAATTTATTAATTTATTTTTTAATTTACACATATACATTAATACACACACACATATATATTTGTCATGTTTGACTAAGAAACATACTTACTAGGAATAAAATCCTACATATCTAAACATTAGGATTACTAACACGTCTGTGTTCAACATAGAATAGCTCCTGATAGCAACACTGAAGTGCAGTTAG